GGGGGGGAGCGCTGCGCGCGGGGGTCTCGCGGCGGCGACGGCTGCGCGGGGGGGAGGGGCGACGGAGAAGGAGGAGGAGAAGAGCCAGAGAGCCAGAGCGCCTCGCGCCGCGGGAGCGACGGAGCCGAGAAGGAGGGAGGGAGAGAGGGAGGGAGGGAGAGAGGAGGGGCGCGCGCCAGGAGGGGGGCGGCTCTCCGCGGCTTTCGGCCCGACGCGCGTGCGCGCGCCCCTCCCTCTCTCGCTGGCTTCGCGCTCCTCCTCCTCCTCTTCCTCTTCCCACTCCACGCCTCCTCTTGGCTGGCCCTCGGTGGCGGCGCTTTGTGACGGCGGCGCGTGTCCCCCACCCCTAAAGGGACGAGCGGCAGTGGGAGCCGAGGGCGGGCTGCAGAGGATAGCTTGGCCTCAAAATGACGGTTGTGCGCCTCGACGCCGCGGTTCCAGAGGCGTGTCCCGGAAGGGATCTAAGGTCCTAGAGCTCTTAGCGCTCTCCCCCATGTGTGTTCACGGGCCTCCTCAGCCATCCTCAGGCGAGCCTTGGCCTTCTGCAGGCCCCTCCCCGTGACAGTCTGAGGTCGTTGCATTTAGTAGGTACTTGATTAGAATGTGCAGAGAATGTAGGACTTACGGGTGGGAACAAGCATTCCCCACTTTTCTCCCGCAGGTCCAGTCCTCGGGCTAGTGTGCCCTTGGGCAAGCCACCCACGTTGCGGGGGTGTGTGGGGGGAGGAGCAGTTTCCCATACGGGAAATGGGGAAGGCAGAAAGGCCAGTACCTACTTCCCTTCTTAACTATAAAGCAGAAGTTATGAGGAAAGAGAGATAATACAGACTGAACCTGGGTTTCTAGCCCCTCTCAGTGTGATTTGGTGCAAGTGCTCTGGCTATCCCTCAGTTTGCCCGTTTGTAAAATAAAGTTCTGTACTTTGCCACCCATCCCTCCGTAGGTGCTTTCAGCTGGAATGTCCAATCTGAAACTGAGAAACTTTCGAGATAATCATAACTGAAGTGAGATGTGAAGATAGTCTTCAGTCCCCGGATTTAGAATACTCCTTTCTCCTAAGGCATGTGCTGTAGTATGAATGTCCCCCCAAGCTCGTATTGGAGTTTGATCCCCATTGTAAGTGTTAAGAGGGTAGGAAATCTGTGGTATTTGAAAGATGGGGCTTTAAGGTGATTGGATCCTGAGGACTATGCCCTCATGAATGGACCTTATGAATGAATTAATCCATTCATGGATTATGGGTTAATGGGTTATCTGGGAGTAGACTGGGGGCTTCATAAGGAGAGCAAGTGAGCACATAAAGATGCTCTTGCTTAGCTGTGGCTGTGTGATAACCTGCCCTGGTGTCTGTATAAAGTCACCACCAGGAAGAAGGCACTCAGCAGATGCACTCTCACAACCTTGGACTTCCCAGTCTCCAAAATTGTAAAAAATTTATTTATTTATTTTTAAAAGATGACCGGTAAGGGGATCTCAACCCTTGACTTGGTGTTTTCAGCACCACGCTCTCCTCTCCGCAGTGAGCAACCAGCCATCCCTATATGGGATCCGAACCCGTGGCCTTGGTGTTACCAGCACCGCACTCTCCCGAGTGAGCCACGGGCCAGCCCCCAAAATTCTGGTTTTTAAAATAAATTACCCAGTTTCAGGTATTCTGTTATCAGTGACAGAAAACAGACTAATACACAATGTCTTATGATAACCAACTAAACTATTTCCTAGAAAAATCAGGATACTCTGTGAGTTCCACACACACAGTTTTGGGATCAGAAAGTTCTCGGTTCCAAGGTCACAGGTTCAGATCTCCATACCTGCCAGCCACCAAAAGAAAGAAAGAAAGAAAGAAAACAAAAGATCTGGATGCCAACCGTGGCTCCCCTATTTATATTACCTCTCCCTATTTCATCGCCTTCTGTAAAAGACGGTTAATTATACCTAACACAGTAATTAAAATAATTAAATGAGATCATCTATATACAACATTTAGCATAGTGACTGGCACATGGTAAGCGATCCATAAATAGGAACTCTAAAGAAAGGAAAAAATTAAAGGTGTAGCTATATTCTGGCTTTATTTTTACAACAGTTTTAGATTTACAGAAAAATTGAGATAATAGAGTTCCCATATACCTGGATTCGGTTTCTTCTATAATTAACATCTTAGAGTAGTACATTTATTACAATTAATGAGCCAATATTGGCACACTACTAGTAACTAAAGTTCATACTTAATTCACTTTCCTTCATTTTTACCAAATGTTTTTTTCTGTTCTAGGATCCCATCCAGGATATCAGACTAAATTCAGTTTTCATGTTTCCTTAGGCTCCTCCCGACTGTGACCTTTTGGGACTTTCCTTGGTTTTGATGACCTTGACAGTTTTGAAGAGTACTAGTCAAGAATTTTTTTAGAATGTCCCTCTCCTGGGACTTGTGATGTGTTTCTCATTATTAGACTGGGGTTATGGGGTTTTTTTTGTTTTTTTTTTTTAAAAAGATGACCAGTAAGGGTATCTTAACCCTTGACTTGGTGTTGTCAGCACCACGCTCAGCCAGTGAGCGATCCGGCCATCCCTATATAGGATCCGAACCCTCAGCCTTGGTGTTATCAGTACCACACTCTCCCGAGTGAGCCACGGGCTGGCCCGGGTTATGGGTTTTTGAGGGAAAGATCACAGAGGTAAAATGCCATTTTCATCACGTAATATCAAGGGCACATAATAGCAACATGACTTAGCAGTGTTGATGTTGACCTTGATCACCCGGCTGAGATAGTGGGTTAGATTTCTCCCCTGTAAAGCACCTCCTAGCCCTTTTTATACAAATCACTATGTACAATCCACACTCAAAGAACCCACCTCATTTTTTTTTGTCTTTTTTTTTTCCCTCAAAAATAAGGTTCAGTATTTTAAAGCATCATTCTTTAGCCTCCAACCCTACTGTAAAGCATCATTCTTTAGCCTCCAACCCTACTGTCAAGGTCTTGAGACCAAATTCCACTGGAATTAGAGCTCCCCTCAGTGGAGGGGGAATGTACTAGGGATTTCAGTCCCTCTCCCCAAATGATGGTGTATGCCTGACTCTGGCTTCCCCTCCTCCACCACTCAATTTAGGAACAAGAAGATTGCTGACCTGAAAACATGAGAGATGATGTTGACACCTTTAATAGCTAGGCTGTGAGTGGACAAATAAGCAGAAAGTTCATCTTCAAAGCGTTTTACCCATGTAAGCTCATCACAGCCCCATCCTGATGATAGATCCCTAGCCTAACCCACGGGAACATACATTTGGCACCCAGACCAAAAACTGCTCCCTGGGTTCAAATCAACTCACAAACTCAGTAAATACTGAGTATCCACTGTGGGCATGGCTGTAATGGGGAGGTGCTCAGCTTAATGTGTTTGTGGGTTTTGTACTCAAGGCTCTTCATTCTCAGGTCAGAGGAAGTGGAGTTCCACAGAACTAGCTCATCCCTTTGCGGGGGGGACATGGATGGGGGGTTAGCTAGCCAGTGGCTCATTTCTTTTTATCTTAGCCTGTAAGACATTGTTTATTCATAGGTTGCAACTGTGTCTTATTCATCACTGTATCCTCAGCAACCAACACACAATCTGACACAAAGACACTAAGTAATTGTTCTCAGAGACTGAACCAAAGGCAGGAAGACAACTAGTAATCACAAAATCACAAATTGAACTACATCCCCTGTCCCATGTTTAATAGGCTCTCTGAGGCACACAGTAGGTGCTCAAAAAGACTATAAATTTCATAATCATATACCAGCTACTCCAATGTTTGGTACAAAGATAGATTCATAGTTTCATGACAGGTAGAGATCGATTTGACTGATTACCGCCCTCTGGTGGTAAAGAAAACAGAACACCTACTTTCAGTCTCTAAGGCATCTTAGAGACTTTATACTCTCCAACCAGGGCATTTCTGAAGAATTGATTATCTTTCTTCCGAAAAGAAAAGATATGGAAATCTTGGTAAGGTAAGTGGGAGGGAGGGGGTATTTGCTTTGGGAAGATTAATTCTCACCTTTAAGAATAGGGCTAGCCATTTAGCTCAGTGGGTTAGAGTGTGGTGTTATAACACCAAGGTGAAGAATACAGAAATGACCATTTAAGGGGCCAACATTTTTTAAAAATTACACTTGTTAACATTAAGAGAGCAACAATCTTCCTCTAATAGTAATAGCTAACATTTGCTGAGCATCACTAGATACAGGCTCTTTACATGCACCATCTCATTTAATCCTCACAAAAATTTATGACATGGTCATTACTAGAGTATCCATTTTACTAAATAAACTAAGGCTCAGAGAGGTTAAAAAAAGTTACCCAAGGTAACTCAGTAAGTAAATGGCAGAACCTGGAGTTGACCTCAGACATCCCATTTCAGTATGACTGCTCTTAAGCACCATGCTATAATGTTCGTAGTCTAATGTGCCCACAGCAATCTGTGCATATCATAGCACCCCCTGCATTGTACTGCAACTATTGTTTACTTCTTCCAGCATCTAAGGTGGTATTTAGAAACGGCCATTCATTTATTGATTCATTCAACAAATACATATTGAGTGTCTCCTATGTAACAGGCACTCAATACATATGGCAGGGATACAGTAGTGAATGAGACAGAAATAATTGGTCCCTGCCCTTATGGACCTTACATTCTAATGACTGAGACAAAAACAAGTAACTGGTAAGGGCCGGCCCATGGCTCACTTGGGAGAATGTGGTGTTGATAACACCAAGGCCACAGTTTGGTTCCCTATATAGGGATGGCCGGTTAGCTCACTTGGGAGAGTGTGGTGCTAACAACACCAAGTCGATGGTTAAGATCACCTTACCAGTCATCTTTTTTTTTTTTTTTAAGATGACCAGTCAGGGGATCTTAACCCTTGACTTGGTGTTGTCGGTACCACGCTCACCCAGTGAGCAAACCGGCCATTCCTATATGGGATCTGAACCTGTGGCCATGGTGTTATCAGCACCACACTCTCTCGAGTGAGCCACGGGCCAGCCCCTACCGGTCATCTTTTAAACAAACAAAAAAACCAAGTAACTGGTAGATAGATAATATTCTTACAAGTTTTGGTGAGTACCAATGAAAGTATTAAACGGATGCCTAAGACTGAAAATGTTGGGACAGGATGCAATTGTATTTTTATTTTTAGGACGCAATTTTAAATGAAGGCAGGTTGGAAGCAGGAGAATTCTCTGTGAGGTCACATGTAAATAGATAGAACTGACCTGTGAAATGTGAAGGCAAGTTTTTCCAGGTTTCTGGCTTGTGATCAACATATCTTATTTCATAGGTGTAATTTTTTTTTTTTTTCCTTTTTAGTAGCTGGCTGGTATGGTGATCCAAACCCTTGACCTTGAGTGTTGTTATCAGAACTATACTCTCCCAACTGAGCTAACCCACCAGCCCTAGGTGTCAATTCTGGACTGTTCTTGACCGTGGAGCTTGACCATTTTTAGGGGTGGATGAATAGTCAACTAACCTCTTAGATCTTTGGTCTTTTTCAGACTTGGATGGTGTATTAGTCCGTTTCTGTTACTTATAACAAAATACCTGGGACTGGGTGTTTTATAGAGATACAAAATTTATTGCTTACAGTTTCTGAGGCTGGGAAGTCTGGAGTCCAGGGAAAACATCTGGAAAGGTCTTCCTTGGTGGTGGCTTCAGTGACACGGGATATCACACTGTAAGATGGCAGAAGCAGAGAGAGAGAGACTGTCACGTGTTCTCCTTTCAAAGCCCTCAAAACCATGCCCATGATTGCCATTATTAATCTATTCATTAGGGCATGGTCCTCTTAAAGGTCCCACCTTTCAATCACCATAATAGGATTTTCCACCCTCTTAACAGACAGTGAGGATCAAGCTTCTAATACATAAAACTTGGGAGACACAATTCAATCCATATCAAATGGTGTGCTTCCTCCTCTCTGTCAATTCAGACTTAAATCATGCTTCTAGACTTAGCACAAGCCGCACTCCTCCAGGAAACCTTAACAATTAAACCATTCTGAGCAGAAGAGGAGCGAGAGGGCACCAACATCAAAGGCCCAGGATAAGAAGGCAAGATAGAGTAGGGAAACTCCAAGTAGTAGTTCAGTACAACTGTGGCATAAAATTTGATGAAAAAATGAAGATATGTATCAGAAGCATCTGTTTAGCATATTTCCTTTTTCTGTCTCAAATTAGTGATTATATATTTTAATTTGTAATTTGCAGTTTCATAAGTGCAGACATATATATACACTTGAGAAACCAACACCACACACACACAAAAAAAAACTTGAGTGAGACATGCTTAGAAAAAGGACTGTAAGACTGACTGTGGTCACATTCAAGGAGTAAACTTTATTGAGTACCTACAATGTGCTAGGCTTTGTCCATGTACACCTGGTCTTTGTTTTGTGGATTCACAGTCAAGGACAAAAATACACAATTAATAAACAATTAAAAAATTTAAAAAGTTACTGGCCAGCTGCAAAACAAAACTATAAAAATTGTAAAAAGTGATAAAAGGAAAATAAATTGGATAATGAGGTAAGAGAAACCATATTTTAGAAAACATATCTAAATATATTTAGAAAATATCTTTTAGGTCTTTAGTGAAGGCCTAACTAAAGAGGTGATATTTATGCTGAGAGCTGAAAGATATAAAGGAAAATAAGCCAAGAAAGAGCATTCCAAGGACAGCAAACAGTTTGGGTGAAGTCTCTGAAGTAGGAAAGAACTTGATACAGCCAAAGAACTGAAAGAAGGCTGAAGTTGCTGGAGCTCAGCGAGCAAGGAGTGGAATATCAAGAAAAAGGATGGAGGGGGCTGGCCAGTTAGCTCACTTGGCTAGAACATGGTGCTGATAACAGCAAGGGCAAGGGTTCTGATCCCCTTACCAACCAGCCACCACCAAAAAAAAGAATGGGATAGTGAGGGAGGGGCTACATTGATCAAAACCTTGTAAAAGTTTGTATTTTGTTCTAAGTACCACAGGAAGTCACTGATGAGTCTTGCTTTATTTATTTATTTTTGGCGGCTGGCCAGTACAGGGATCTGAACCCTTGGCCTTGTTTTATTTTTTTTTTATTTATTTTTATTTTTTTTATTTTTATTTTTTTTAAAAGATGACCGGTAAGGGGATCTCAACCCTTGGCTTGGTGTTGTCAGCACCATACTCAGCCAGTGAGCTAACCGGCCGTCCCTATATAGGATCCGAACCCGTGGCCTTGGTGTTATCAGCACCGCACTCTACCGAGTGAGCCACGGGCCGGCCTATGGCCTTGTTTTAATAGGCCACACTCTAACCAACGGAGCTAACCAGCTAACCCTGATGAGCTTTAAAAAGGGGATGACATGATTTCTGTTTTAGAAAATTCATCTGGAAGATGTGTGGAAAGTGGATCGATGATGGGCAAGACCACTCTTGTGAAAGTTCCTGTAAGAGCTATTGCATAAACTATTCTGTGTTGCTAGAAGTCAGGATAGTAGGTGTGGCGTGGGGGGGGGGGATAGTTACTAGAAGGCAACATGAAGGGAGAATCTGAAAGTGTAGGAAATGTTCTGCTTCGTTTCTGAGAGCTAGTTACATGGGTATGTTTGGTTTGTGAATATTAAAGCTGTACCCTTATGATACGTGAATTTTTCTACATGTGTATTGTACTTCAATAAAAAGCTAAAAAGAAAAAAAAAGCTATTGAATGAAACTATTCTGTATTCTCCAGAAATGTCATCATAAAACACCAAAGAAAGAGAGAGCTCAAGAAATTCTACAGGTTAGGAGGGACGAAAGAAACATGACAATTAAATTCAATACATGATCATCAGGAAATAAAATGCGATTATATAAGGGATATTATTGGGTTAATTGGCAACATCTGAATACGGAATTTATATAATAGTATTGAATCAAGGTTAAATTTCCTGAATTTTATATTTGGACCATGATTATGTAAAAGAAGTCCTTGACCTAAGAAGATACACGCCAAAGTATGTAGAGATGTGTGCACTTGATTTTCAAATGGTTTTGCAAAACGATATGTAAATACAAACAGAAAGATGGAACAAACTTGGCAAAAGATTGACACTAAGTGAATCTAGGTGAAGAGTAGTGGACATTCATTATATTATTCTTGCAACATTTCCCTGTAAAATTTTAATAATTTTAATAACAAGTCGTTTAATTTTAATAATAAAAGTTGGAGAAAAGCTATTACAATAATCTAGGTACAAGATGATGGGACTTGAACTAAACCTGACAGTGAAAGACAGAGAAAAATATATAAATTCAAGGTATATTTTGGATGTAGAACTGACACGATGTAATGAATGAGAAAAAAGGGAGGAATCCTTGCTGTATACAAACAAACCCCGACCACAGCGCCCAAACTAGCACCGCCCTTCCCGTTTGCACCCAAGCGGAGGAAGTGAGGAAAAGGAAACGGCTGTAAGACTTCCGGTCTAGTGTCGCGAAGAAGACGTAAATCGGAGTCCCGTTTGGCCCCGCCTCAATAGGCGGCCCTGGAGAGTGACAGGCCAATGGCGAGTGGCTCATCGAGCAATCACCCAATGGCTCTGCAGCGGGTGCAGTCCTGCGGAATCTGCTTGCTTGAACTTGAGCGGTGGAATTCGGCATTTTCACCCACGTGGGTGAAGCTGTGGTGTGTAGGCCCGGCTTGAGTTCGAAGTGCGGGAGAGAGACCTGGACCCGGAGTGATGGGTCCGGCGCCTGCCGGAGAGCAGCTGCGCGGAGCGGCTGCGGAGTCGGAGGTGGGTTAAGCCAGCTCGGAGGGAGAGAGGCTCAGTGTGCGCTCCGCCAGCTGTAGGGACAAAGATGGCGGGGCCTGACAGCTTGCCAGTGAGGGCCAGAAAGGCAGCCCACTGTGGAGGAGCCCCATTCTCGCCCTGCGTCCAGCCTGAGGCACCGAGACAATCAGGACTTGCTGGGGGGGGGGGGGGGGGGGG